TGTGTGTGTGTGTGTGTGTGTGTGTGTGTGTGTGTGTGTGTGTGTGTTTTTAATGTTATTTTTTCCACTTTGTGCTGGAAAACTTTCAAATGAAATGCAATAGTATTTACACCCAGATACCATTGAACACAGGAGAATCCTAACTGCCACGCATTTGCGGCCAGCTGGTAGGATCTGCTATGTGGCTGGAAATGTCACTTTTTTTTCACTCCATTGTGACACAAGTTGTCACATAATTCAAAACTGAATCACGGAGCACAAAACTGCAATTGCACATGTTGAAACGTTCACGCATGTTGCACATCTGGTGATGTCACAGCCCTTTCTTTCGTAGAGGGCTGAAGGAGTGAGTCCCAGAACCTGGAAATGAGTCAGCATTTTTTCACTTGTGGTTCCTTTTGTCTTTAAGTCAAAGTTTTTTTTTTTTTTTTTAATGTTTTTGGTTAGATGGTTGAAATAAGGTGTGTTGGACACAAGCTCAAGAGATTTAAAAGTTTTGTTCTACAACATTCAACACGTCAGTAAATACTCTTGAGAATTTTGATGCTTTTAAGTGTCTAGAAAAAAGGCTAAATGAGACTACAAAAACGTCATCACGGCGAACACATCCGCCTTTAGCTTTGTGGTGGTGACGTGTAGTCACATGACCGAGGTGTAGTTCGTTTATAGGCCAATGTTAGCTTTTTTGCCACTGCTGATTGCATTCTCGCTTCAAAAATCATAAAAGATCCTGTTGGCTTTTTTGTGAAGGGATCCAGTGCGGTTTTTAACCAGGAAGTTAGCATTGCACTGGTTCTCTCGGCATAAAGCGGTCGCATGAGCGTGAGTATTCGCAACTAGCTAGGCTGTAAAGGCAGATTAGTCTGTGTGATGGCGTTCTGTAGTTCTATTTAGTCACTTTTTAGCGATGCGTTAAACACTTCAAAATTCATAAAAGGGTAACAACTGATGTATTTGATACCGTAGAAAATAACTGTTAAAATCTATTAAGCTTATGTTACCTCATTTTCTGGCATCTAACCAAAAACCCATTAAAAAAAAAACCCACTGACTTTGAGACGAGGTTACTGAAGTGCAAAAATGCTGACTTGTCAATGCAAATCACTTTGGGGCGTGGCCAGAGATATGACATATGCCAGGAAGTGTTGATGCTTCTCATTATTCTGTGATTATCTACTGTCAGTTAAACTGTGCGTGTTAATTTTTTTTTGTGCTGGTTTTAACCCTAGTGTATGGGCTGTGAGTCAAAATTAATGTGTTTACATGGATTTCAACCCCAGGACAAGGATCCACACTTCTCATTTGGTCCCTGGGCCTTAAACATTAAGTTTGTTTATGTTGTAAATGAAAACTGAATTCAGAATAAATTATGTTTTCATGATGGAAAAAACTGTATGTTTGTATACATTTCAGTTGTATGCTGCTTTAAGTCTTTTAAATGGAGAAAATCTTAAATAAAAATAAATTCAAAACTTTGAGTGCTGCTGTAATGGCTACATATTTTTCTATTGAGAGGTTGAGGTTATAACTCTTTACTTTCTGTAACACAAGCACCCAAGGTGTTATATGTCAGGAAGGACAATTAATTTAATTATAAATCATTTTAACTATCAAGTATGAAGAGCAGAGTTTTAATAAAAATCAATTTAAAATGTAGGACTAGTGATAATTATAGGCTAGATACAGTATAACATTTAACTTTACACTAATTGAGTTATTTATGTTGTAAGCTAACATGCTAACAAAAGCATTAGCTAAGTTTATTTGAGAAGCTAGCAAACGAAGAGCAATTTATTTATTTATTTAATTTATTTAAAAGGGACCATGTACAGTTTAAACATAAATGTCTCCATTCGATGCACTGTACCAGATTGTAGTTTAAGCTAATTTGCATCTGCAGTCCCTTGGCAGGTCAAACAAGGACAAGACAATAACACAGTAAAAGGAAATGACATAATACAGAGATATACCACAAAAAACATACAAGACACCCAATACAACGCCACACACAAATAGCACATCAAAGATTAATGTGTCAATAAAATCAAGTCAGAAAAGACCACAAGAATTGAGGTCAGTGTGTGCAGTGTTGTGCAGTTTTTAAAAGACTTTTTAAGTTGGCTTTAAAAGTGCTAATAGTGCTGCAGCTCCTCACACCTTCAGGCAGGGTGTTCCACTGGTGTGTTGCTTTTACAGAGAACGCAGATTGACCAAAAGTAGTGCGGCGAAATGGTATTGTACAGTCTCGTGTAGAGGATATTCTCGCTGATCTAATAGAAGTTGCTGAGCGAGTATATACAAAGTCACGGAGTGGAGGAGGGGCCAAACCATTTAAAAGTCTATAGACCAGGCACAAATTTGAGAACAATCTAAAATTGTTAAAGCTCAGTAGATTGTGCTTCTCCAATACCCTACAGTGGTGAAACTGCAACGGCCTTTTGTCCAGAATTTTTATTGTTTGCTTATATAAAGGCTCAAGAGGCCTTATGGCTGTTTCACCAGCCTGCCCCCAACACGTAATGCAATAGGACATATGAGAAAGGATCATGGCATGCATAAATATCTTTGCTGCATTTGGAGAGAGACAGTTTCTGATGTGTCTAAAATTTGCTAGGTTGTATTTTATGGTTTTAACCATTTTTTTTTTTACATGTTTCTTAAATGTCACATTTTGATCTAGTATCACACCAAGATATTTAAAATCGGACTATTTCTAGCCTTTCTCCGTTGATAAGAATGTTTGCATCAGGAGGTTGGCTGATGGTTTTAGAAAAAAACATCCCTTTTGTCTTATTTACATTTAGAGTCAGACATGATTGATCGAGCCAGTGTGTGATCCTTTCCAACGCAATTGTTAGCTTGGCAGCTGCTAACTCAGCTGTTTTTGCATGTGTATACAACAGTGTCATCTGCATACATTTGCAGTTCTACATCATGACACTGTTGAGGGAGATCATTAATATATAGACTAAATAATAAGGGAGCTAACACTGACCCTTGTGGAACACCCATTGTGCATTTCAGGTTGCTTGACAGTGCGTCACAAATTTTAACACATTGCTTCGTATTTGATAAATAAGAAGACATCCAAGCCAGTGCTCTATGTGAAAAGTTAAACGCAGAGTTTCGATATTAACACATCGTGATTGACTGTATCAAAAGCTTTGCGTAGATCTAAAAATACAGCACCAACTACTCCTCCTTTATCGAGCATTGATTTGATTTGCTCTATGAAGTGCAAGGTAGCAGTTTCTTCTAAAGCCAAACTGCATACGATGTAGACCACAGGTGCTTGTACTAAGAAAAGTTGTGAGTTGTTCAATGACAACTTTCTCTGCAATCTTTGACAGTATACTTATCGGTCTATAGTTACTGGCTTCAAGGCGGTCTCCAGATTTAAAAATAGGTGTGACAATGGCACATTTCCAGTCATCAGGGAAAGAGCTGTGTTTAAAAGACAAGTTAATTAAATGAGCAATAGGGAGAGTTAAAATATCACTGTGGGCTTTCACAAACATGCTATCAAATTGAAAAGCATCTCTGCATTTGGAGTTTAAGGAACTGATGATTTTGTTCACTTGTAACTCGTTAGTCTGTAACATCTCAAAAACCTGCCCTGTAGCATCCGTAGGAACGATGTCCAATTTCCTTTTTGTAAACTTTTTTTCCTAGCTCATATACAGACTCAAGAAAAAAAATATTAAAGACAGAAGCAACCGCAAGATGATCATCAATTAGTTCACCTTTTACTTTGAGTTTAAAATCTCCTAAACATTTTGGGTCCGTCCTTGTGAGATTATCGATATTTTTCCAGATCAATTTGCTGTTGCCTTTTGCCGCATTCAAAATATTGAGATAAAAGCGAGATTTAGCCAATCTTAGCTCCTGGGTGACTTTGTTCCTTAGACATTTATAGATCAGCATGTCAGTGTCCCTTCTAGTTGTAAATGTCTTTCTTAGTGCAGCATCTCTAGTCTTCATCAGATTCCACAACAACGTCCGGCAGAGGAGGAAAAATGCTTCATTTCATGACGGTGCGTTACCAATTTAGCGTTAGCTGCCCAAACCCTTTGCGAAGCACCACCCCTCGTGGATAAGCTATCTGTACTTTCGCTTTTTTGGACCTCTATGCTCCCCCTGGTACCTCCTCTGACAGCAGCTGAACCGGACCACCTTTAAGCTCACACCACTTCCCGTGGTCAGCAGCCTCCGAGCTGCTCCACCAGTCCTCCTCCTTCCTCTACAGAGGAGGGGCCACTCTCTTCAACCAACTTCGGGAGAAAATGTTTGGAATTCCGTTTCCGCTTTAGGGAGTGGACGATTTTTTTTTTTTCAACTTTTTATATCCACGACAACTCGGACAGTTTTTTCCGTCAAAACTGTCCCGGATTAAACTATCGTCGCGACGATGGCTTCTTCTCCTCAGAAGTCCCCGTCCTCTCCGAAGTCCCCGACGCCCAAATCCCCGTCTTCCAGAAAGAAAGACGACTCTTTCCTGGGGAAACTTGGTGGAACTTTGGCGAGAAGGAAAAAGGCTAAAGAAGGTAAATCAGCTGGCGAAACGACGAGCCCAAACACTAACGGAACGGTCCGCCGTCTCGTTGGGCTATATTGTTTTCAAAAAGCGGAGATGAAAATATTGAAGTTAACACCAATATTTTACATCATAACCGACAGCAATTGTCAGTCTTGCAGTGTAGAAATACTCTCTAAATTGACTATGTACCCACAATTCAGAGAGCAAGTTTACGTTTATCGCTGTATTTGTTTCAGCTTTGGACATTTATTCACCTCAAACAAAAACACCGTAAACTCCAACCTGTTGCTTACTTGTGTGTGTTTTCATGGCCGCGGGCTGTGTGTCTGTACCCATGTACGGTATTGAATCTGCCACTACTGTAATAAGTAAGGAATGAGGCTCGAGTAAACACAGACCCCGTTACAGACCCGAGGCTCCTACAGCACACAGACACTCTGTGGGAACACGAGGGCCCAATGTGTCGCCTAAAGCCTTAGACCCTGAACCGTAAGGGACCCATCTGACGTCACCTGTTAAATGGTCGAGTGTGAGAGACTGTAAGAACTTGAAATGGTGCAAATACGAATTGGGACAGCACGTGCCATATCTCGTTACAGGGACATACCATTTTATGTACAATTGTAGGTATTTATTTGATATTTTTAAAACTCCCTGATTTAAACGTCTCCCAGGCTTTTGCCTCACGAGATGAGAGGTAATTGTGACGTAATCTATTCATGCATTTGTCAAAACAGCTGTAAAATAAAAGGAAATGGTTAATGAATAAAGCAGCTGTGTAATATAATCTCTGTTTATATTGTGTTTTTGTGTACCATCTTTAATCCTCGATGTTTCAGCGTAAATGTAGGCTTAACACCTGTGTACCGTCTTTTGTTTGCCGCATTTAATGTCATGTCGCTATGAATTGTGGGAATTTTCCCTCAGGCAAAGTCCTCAGGAAATGCGGACTCGCAGGGAAGGGTTCATTAAGGGCTCAAAAAATGTCTGCAAAAAGAGCCCTCAAATGCTTCATGCCATTTCCTCCTCTGGGGAAAGGTCGCGAGGTTGATTCCCAGAGCAGGGGTCAGGGGTCGGATACAGAACGGCAGCTTCCACTTTCCTTTTTATATTACTTATAAAACCTCGCAACGTCGGTCTTTGATTACCAAAGGAGGTGCTATAAATAAGAATACACCGAATGCCCGGTTCAGTTTATAGCTGCGTTGTTCTGGAAAATACAGCAGACTTCATGAGAGCATGGCATTCATCGTCAAAGGCCAGGTTTTTTTTATCATCCAAGGAGAAAGGTCTCCTTCAATCGGATGATTACGTTGTGTCATTCAGGATACTGTTGCACAGCTGAGCCCCCCTCTCAGGTGGCCTTTGTCTATGGGACGTGCGTGCAATCGCATTATATTCATGCTGGCTCATGCTCGACACACACACACACACATACATATGCACTGAGTGTGTGTAGCATGTCTGCAGTGTGTTCTGTGATTTGATGGAGAACGTGGGCCGGTCGCTCTCGTGGAGATCGTTGATTAGATTGAGGTCCTTGGGACGTTTATGGCTGTCGCCGTGCAGAGGGGAGGGGGGGGGGGCTTGAAAAGGAAATGAGGAAGGGAATATAGCTAGATGGGATGGGATGGGGGGGGGGACGAGAGAGAGGAGGAGAAGGCCGGGAGGTTTTGAGAGCATCAACCGAGGGCTGATGCATTGCACGCAGGACGTGCGACGTGGACATAGTGCAAATGCAGCGCACCAATCGGGAGAGGTGAAGTGTAAATTCTGTTCTTCCCGTGAAAATAGCAAAAAAATGAATATTGGGGATCAGGTGTTGCATTAGAGACTTGTGAGCTCAGCCCGTGGAGGAGAGAGCTGGTCCTGCTAGCCAGGAGAGGATGCTCCAGACCAAGAGGGGGGGGACGGGGGACGGACACAAACCAACATGGGTTGTGGAGCGCTCTGCCCTCCAGGTAGGACGGGATGTCGGCGTGCATTCTTTCCTCGCATGTAGGCGTGTTTCCAAATGATGCATCTGTCAATGTGACTTTTTAACGTTTTGTATTATTGTTAACACCATTTAAACCGAACACACACTCATTTTTACGACCCAGGGGGAGGAGTGATACAGCGAGGACACCGAGAATGCCCGTGATTCCTATTCCCTCTGCTTATGATACTAATGGCAAATCAAATCCGCACTGAACATATACAATGCGTTAATAGAGGTGACACCGTGGTCATTTCACCCTTACATCGCGTCATACATCTACCCACCATACTAACACCCAACCTCGGTTTCCACGTACTTGCTTGTCCGTAAATAGCACAAGTGATAATTACAGTAATAACAGATCGGGCTAATTGGTGTGGTGTTATCACAGCCATACTTCCGCATGAGTCTGTAAATTGCAAGCCGTGGACAGTAACCATAAAAGCGTTTGAACCCCCCCCCCCCCCCCCTTTCTTTACAGAGATCCATTGTTCAACATCTTCCTTCTTCTGTTATGAATGCATGAGACAATATCCCTATGACCTAAAGCGACTCTTTAGGTTTCACGTGTATTCTGTAGTTAGTGAGATTACATTGATTAAAATCAATTCTAAGAGATGGTAGAGAGAGTCGCCCGGCAACCGCAAGGTCGGCGGTTCGATCCTTGGCTGCTACGAGTCCTGTGCCGAAGTGTCCCTGAGCAAGACACTAAACCCCTAAGCCTAACCGCTCCCCAGGCGCTTCTCAGCAGCTCACTGCTCCCAATAAGCTAGGGATGGGTTAAATGCAAAAGTAACATTTCATGTATATGTACAATAAAATTTCAATTTAATTTCAAGTGTCTTAAAACGTGCATTCTCTCTTCTGTCCAGCAGGGGGCGACTCCTCTGGATGCAAAAAGAAGTCTATGAGAAAATGACCCTACTTCTCTCTTGATTTATTACCTCAGTAAATATTGTCAACATGAGTTTATGGTCTCAATCTCTAGTTCAAGTCTTATGCTTTAGGGCGTTCTTACTGTGATTGACAGGTCGCTGCTGCTACCAGAGATGTATACGGCATCTCTCCGCACTCCTCTGCATTCCAAATATGGTAAATTCTGTTTATCGGTTGCAAAAAAAACCCAACATGGTGACGGCCGTAATCCAAGACTGCGACAGCAAAACTTGAGGCTTCATAACAGCAGTCCACAAACCAATGGGTGATATCACGATGACTACGTCAACTTCTTATATACAGTCTATGATTGGGTCATTCGTAAGAGGACCAACATGTTGTTTCTCCTCTCAAACGTTCTGCAGTCTCTCTTTAAATCCGACCCATGGTTTTTTGCCAGCCAAAATAAACCTAGACGTCCAGTTATAACATTCTAAAAAAAATCCATATTGGCATAAATAGTTACAACATTCATGTGTACTCCGAAGGTTATTAGTTGACCGTTTGAAATTAATTTACTTTTTTTCTTTGTACTTTTTATGAAACATCCTCTCAACAGCAGCTGAAAAGAGCGTGTCGCTCTGAAGGAATATTCCCATCCACCCCCTGTGCACATGCGAGCACTTGTGGATGGTGTTGATTGAGAGGATGTTGTTCCAGTGAACACAGAGAAGTGCACAGGATGTTCACTCCATGCTCTTCAGCACATACACACACACAGTGATCAAGCCTCCTCAGGTATCTGACACACTGAGAACAATGGCATGCTGGGTTTTCTATAAAAGCCCGCTGCGAAGCAGGAAGCAGCAACGCTCCGTGTTGGTCTGACATCAAGGGGCTCCCTCAACGGAGGGTCCGCTAACGGTTGTTTGTGGATTCGGGGGGGCATTTATGGAGTCATCCGAACTTATTCAGGGAGGTATCCCTTCTTTTTTCTTTGTCTCTCATGTAGCAGGTATCCCAATGATCGGCATGTACAGTGGCTTCAAAGCTAGACACACTCTGGATACATTTGGCTACAGGTTTAGCTCGCGGTCGGCGTTACTAGCTTTACTTTTTATTTCAGGCTATTTAAGTCATATTTATTGAAATGTACGGTTGAAAATCACAGGAAAGGCAACAATTATAAGCCAGCGTCCTCACAAGTCTTTGACTGGTCTGAATGAATGTGACGATGATGCTAATGTGTGTAACACTTTCTCACAGTGTCTGAGCTTCAGGAAGAGGGGATCAATGCCATCAACCTTCCCCTCAGCCCGTCCCACTACGAGCTGGACCCCGAGGACACCATGCTAGGTAAACGGCTACACCATGCTAGGTAAACGGCTACACCGTTGGATAGGCTTTGTTAAAGGCCATGTGGGTTTGTTTTTGGATTTTGAAACATTTATTTATTTTCACTTATTTATTATTTAGATATTAATGGCAAAAGTTGAGGCCATAATTTAAAAATGTAAGGAAAGCTAGTATTTTGAAGGAATACTTGACCCACAAAACCATTTGTATATCAACTACTCACCTTGTGATACCCTAAATCTGTAAAAAGAAAATACTTTCTCTCCCATGCTTCCACGGCAAATGGAGAATCCAAAAACAGAAGAAATTCTCGTTTATCAATGAATTAAAGTCTCACACCTTTGTCAAATCTTATCCACATGAACAGTCTTACATTTGCTCAGGCGCGCTACTCGTCTGTGCCCGCCCGGACCGGGTGGCAACCTCACTTCTCAGAACTGAAGCTAATGGAAAACTGCATTTAATCTGCATTCTCTCAACTGAACATCAGGGGGCGACTCCTTCGGTTGCAAAAAGAAGTCCAATTGTAAGAAGTCTATTCAAAAATGACTCTACTTCTCTCTTGATTTATTACCTCAGTAAACATTGTAAGCATGAGTTTATGGTCTCAATCTCTAGTTTCAAGTCTTCTTCAATACAGCATCATGTTCATTTAGGAAATTATTAGATTAAAGTAGACCATAAAGCAGGGTATGCTTTAGGGCGGGGCTACCTTGCTAGCAGGTGCCGAATACGGCGTCTCTACGTCACTGCTCCGCAGTCCAAATATGGTCACTTCCGCTCACTGGTCACAAAAAGACAAGATGGTGACAGCCAAAATGTCAAACTTGAGGCTTTAAAACCGCAGTCCACAAATCAATGGGTAAGCTCACAACGACTCAGTCGACCTCTTATAGACAGTCAGTGTTTTCATCAATACTTTCTCCTGTTTTGGATTCTCTAATTCAAACAAAGTTTTCTTCAAGAATTAAAGGTAACACGGGGTGAGTAACTGATATAGAAATGTCATTTTGTGTGTGAAGTATTCCTTTTTTTAACTTTAAGAAGCGAATAAATGCTATTTTTGACCAGGCCGGGGTTCTGTTGCTCACTTTAGAATCAAACTTTCCCCGCTCAGCTCTAACATTTATCCTGTTTCTGCTCATCCATTAGAGGAGAACGAAGTGCGCACCATGGTGGACCCCAACTCCAAGAACGACCGCAAGCTGCAGGAGCTCATGAGGGTGAGGTTTCAAATGATTCAGCCTGCCGTTTATCTCGGATGCGTGTGAAATTAATTAGTGCTGCATCTCCTCATAACTCGCAACCAAGGACACAAGTAGGTTGAAATAAAGAGCTAGTAAGAAGTGTGAAAAGTGTAAAGGTATGGCACGGTGTTCCCGTTTAGCACAGCTAATCACACATGTTACACCATCCCTTCTTAAAAACCTGAGGCTTGGTGAGCAATCACTGGAGTTTTAACAGGCATATTCTCAAGGGGAACTTTTGTTAGGCTACCAAAGGCCTCAGAATGGGGCAACGCTTTATATCCCAGCAGGACATTCATCTCCGGCGTATCGCCCAATCAGCACTGGCATGGCTTGGAAAGCCCAAGTTCTGAGAGACTCAAATTCAATGTAGAAGAAATCTTTAAAACTAGCAGTTCATAGACTCATTCAGCTGGACTAACCGCAAAAGACGTCCCCTAATCTGCCAGGACGGAAAGTACAGACCACGCAAGTAAATCTGGAGCTACAGCGGCTTAAAATGTCGAGAGAAATAACCCTCTAAAATAATTTAGCAAGTTCTAATCACCAGTCTTTTACTCCACCCACATAGGTGTTGATCGACTGGATAAACGACGTCCTGGTGGGGGAGAGGATCATTGTGAAGGATCTGGCCGAGGATCTGTATGATGGACAGGTCCTGCAGAAGCTGTTCGGTGAGGAGCGCGGAACTAAACTCTGCATTTCTTTGGGCCATCGTTGTGTCTCGTAACTTACAGATATTTTGCCTGTGTCCATCCGCTCCAGAGAAACTGGAAGGCGAGAAGCTGAACGTGGCGGAGGTGACCCAGTCGGAGATCGCCCAGAAACAGAAGCTGCAGACGGTTTTGGAGCGCATCAACGACTCGCTCAAGCTCTCCACCAGGAACATCCGCTGGAATGTTGACTGTAAGGACAGTTTCTAATATTTCACTTTTTTACTGTGATCTACGCCCGATTTTTATGAAAGACTTCTTTCTTTCGAAAGACTGTTTGTGAAAACACAATATGCTGTTCTGTAACATTTGTAAAGATGAGATCGGTTCTGAACTGATCCCTACGGGGCAAATGGGTGTCTGCATATAAAAACCAAGGGAGTAGAATATTTTAAGTAGAATTACTGTTTCTTTAAATATATTTTATTTCAGTAAAAGTAAAAATGAGATCGACAGGCGGATCGGTGCGGCTGCAGTAGTAAAGCAGGCGTTGCACAGCCGTCTTGGTGAAGACCGGTATGGTCACAAAATCTGGGTTGTGACCAAAAGCACGAGGTTGCGGCTACAAGCGGCCGAAATGAGTTTCCTCCGTAGGGTGGCCGGGCTCAGCCTTCGAGATAGGGTAAGGAGCTCGGACATCAGGAGGGAACTTGGCGTTGAGGCGCTACTCCTTCACATTGAAAGGAGTCAGCTAAGGTGGTTCGGGCATCTAATCAGGATGCCTCCTGGGCGCCTCCCACTGGAGGTTTTCCTGGCACGGCCAACTGGAAGGAGACCCCGGGGAAGACCCACAACACGCTGGAGGGGGATTACATCTCCCAGCTGGCCTGGGAACGCCTCGGGATCCCCCAGAATGTGCTAGAAAATGTTGCGGGGGAGAGAGAAGTCTGGGTCAGCCTGCTTGGCCTGCTGCCCCGCGACCCGACCCCGGATAAGCGGAGGAAAATGGATGGACTTGTAATGGAGCCACGATAGCATGACAGAGATCTGTGACCCCTAAACACCCGCCCGCCAGGTCCAGCAGTGATTAGAACTTAGTATCACAGGTTAAGACTCTTTTCTTTCAATTATTGAATACACTATAAAGGTAATAAACAAAGGCTTTGAAAAGGTGTGCACATATTGGGTTTACTGGCAGTTGTTCTCTTCATATGTCATATTCTTTGATACTCAGCCGTTAGCAAAAGCAGCAACGTCCTGAACTAAGGTAATCCATAAGATTATGAATAATGGGAACTCTAGCGCTAGCCTAATCAAAGTTAGCTGTGCTAAATTTGGAAATAACTGAAAGGGTGAGTTTGAATTTTTTTAAGTGGGGTTGTATTTATTCTCCCATTTTCGCGAAGTAGAATGACTGTTTCTGTCAATGGAGTCCGTTGGCTTTGAAGAGGGCAATAAACGACAACATGGAGGACTCCGTAGGCCGAACCACGACGGCAAACTTTGTTGCTCCTTTCTACCTTGACAAAGGAAGCACAGACCAGATCCACTCCTTCCTTTCTTACCTTTTACAATAACAGCCAGAGACATACGTTGCGTAACCGTTTACCAGAGGGAACTCAAATTCACTCACAGCGTCTTAGACCATGCACAACATTTTAGCTCAGACAGACTGCTAGACGCTGTCCTGGGTCAATAGGATCCAGGTTGATCGTCCTCTGCCTGAGCAAATCTATTTGAATCTTTTATTGAAAAAGTGTTGCAACTTTCATCATTTGGAATAATTTGGATGCAATTTGCATTTTTGGTTATTTTTGTATTCCTTATGTGTAAAGGCCTTAAGTCATTGGTCTGGGCAGGGAAAGCCATATCCTTACTAAGATCTGCAAAGACAGAGGCGAAGTTGTCAGTGGCGTGGCCATTGAGAAAGTAACAACAGTATCAAAAACATTACACTTGTGGTCAGACATGAAAAAAGTCCACCGGCTGTTGAGAACAACAGCCGGTGCTCGTCAATAAGAGCTCTCCACCTCTCCTTTGACGGCGCTCTTTTATTCGACACGGCGAGCGCTAATTACCGTCAGGCTTTTTACTTACGTCATTAGCCGTAACGTGCATATGAAAAAAAGAAGAAAATGCTAAAGAGCGCAGGTGAATAACATGCGATGCGATTGATTTTGCGGTCCTTTTATTTGAGGAGCTCTTCCTTTTTAAATAAATCCACTTTTGTTTGTCTTCTTTCTTTCAAAAAACACTTTTCCCTGATGTATCTTATTTGGATCCTCTTATGCAGTGAGGACATAATAAGATTTTACCAAGGGTACAATTAAAGGCCTGCTTTGGGAACCTAATTGATCCTGATTGTGTATCCAAAGGTAAATCCTATTTGTTCGGTTGACTAAAGACACGGCATGTCTGACTGAACAGGCTCTCTTTTTGACTTTACGCTGCAGATACTCACCAGAATTCGAGTCGTTCCATCTCTCATCCTGTACAACAGCTTGTATATTTGTGACCTTTTTATCACTCCAAGGCAGCTTTTGGCATCTTGATTGTGTTTACCACGGAAGCTGCGTGACCTTGCCGTATAAAACTTTAAATTATAAATTCCTTGAAGGTTGGAAAATAATGAAAATATGTTGATAGTTATTTGGCGACCCATTGCCTACTGCAAGGTGCTCACCCAGCCTCAGTAAAAAAAACAAAAATACTAAAGATAAAGATTCAGATTATTTGACTTTCGATTTAACGGTCTCGATTCAATTAGATTTTATTTTCAGCAGTGATGGCTATGAGGAGTCTTGATTCGTTAAGATCAGCAGATCATTGGCTTTATGCCTTTAAACATCGTTTGTGTTTTCCAATTCTTTTAAAAGAAAAGCTGCATGGTTATCAAGCATGCTATATTTTTTATTTCATACACAATAACTTATTTCCTCGGTCGATGGGAAACTAGATGGCGGGAGGGTACTTTACTCCCAACAGCTTGAGTTTCTCCAAGTTTACGAGGTACACCTGATGACACCCTGTTGGCATCCGCATGAAATCGCCAAACAGCTCGCAGATCGCTTTTTTTCTCCTGATAATTATTTATTAATTTATCAATCATTGTCTCCGCCAGGAGATAATGAGATTGGTTGTGAGTATTTGTGCGGGTCTGCATCTCTGTCTGTCCGCGGGCAATCTCACATTCTGTTGCACTAAAACTGTATATTATTTATGGCCATATGCCCGAGGACCTCTCGTGGTTTCACTGACCCACATTTTACTCAAAACATCTTTTTATTTCCTGATTTATACTGCTATCGACTGCCGACTGACTCGAGTGAAAAACACGTCTGATACGTTTGCGGTCTAGACGGGCGGGTAGCCAATTATGGTTTATGATCGTTCAGTTAAATATGATGTCAGTGGTCGTTGCAGAGACACCTGGTGGAGACGCTGAATGCAAATACTGCACATAGCACACTTGATGTACATGCAGGCATGGAACCAGCATGAGTAGATTTAGAAAGGTCGTAAATGAATAAGCCGGTGTACGGATGGGGATAGTTACTGGCTTTAAATGTACCTACCTTCTTGTGTCACTTCCATGATATTTTTCTGTGATTGTTTTGCTCTCCCTTCTCCTCCCGTTAGCCGTTCACGCGAAGAGCATCGTTGCTATCCTGCACCTGCTGGTGGCGCTGTCGCAGCACTTCAGAGCGCCGATCAGATTGCCTGACCACGTCTCCATTCAAGTGGTGGTCGTCCAGGTGGGTGGAACCTCGCTTTTAAAGGCTTTTTACTACTTACTTAACAGTCATCTTTATTATGGAGGATGTTGGCTTTAAAACCTGCACTCTTCCACTGCTGTGAATTCATCGTTGGCCCTACATCCGGTCCTCCCTTTGTGTCTTTCAGAAAAGAGAGGGCATCCTTCAGTCCAGACAAATTCAAGAAGAAATCACCGGCAACACGGAGTGAGTACGCTCTGCTACCTCACTCATTTTTACACCTCACTACACATGTGTAGGTGTTGACAGACAATAGGGCAAGAACAATGCTGCTAATAGCGATCTGTCACAATGTCAGAAATGTCTCGACAGAAAGAAAAGCCATAGGAGACGACTTCAACTTTTTCAAATTCCCCCGTGAGTTTCACTCTTGTTTAACCTCGGTTTTTATCACTAACCCTCTTCGCCTTCTTTGTGTCCTCCGTCCACGGGGCTTTTTTTCCCTTCGCCAAATAGAGTTTCCACCGTTTTTGTTTATCCAACTTTATTAACAACACAGTAACATTACAATACAAATAACTCCAGTTGTTACAATGTCCACCGTTTCCGCTACCTAGGGATAGCTCGCGATAGCTACTAACAAGACATGAGCGCTGTCCCATTTGGTAGTGCAACGGTCGACGCGCTTCCTTTGTGCCGTAAATGGAGCCGGTGGCGGACCGAATTGCGCGGTGAAAGTGCGGCTTATTGGGTACCAATCTAAACGTAGTGTCATTATTTTAGAGCCCACACAAGTTAAAGCAAAAAGTCCAGATTAAGTCAAATCTGAGATAGTTTTTTCGAAACACATCATACATGTTAGAAAATATTGCTGAAAGCATGTGAAAAGACTGAGCTGTATAGTTCTAATTAATGAGAAAAAATTGAACCGCACACCCTCTGCTTTCAAGTTTCTCTCTTTCACCGAGCTAATGCTAATGTAGCTTTATTGCCCCATTAACTCACCTCCTAAAAACACACCTCATTCAAACTTGACAGAAACAAAAAATAAAACTCACCAGAACCCGTCTCGGTTAGTTTTGCCACTGTTTCGACAATCACCGACTCTTATTCTTTCGAAACAAGCCAGTAATTCCCCGCGTTAGACGTGAAAGTATGCCGGCTCTCCACGCTGCCTCTCTTTATCTCGGCATCGCTGAGCAGCCGCGTTGCTCGTTCTTCGGAGGCAGACCATTAAACTAGCAAAAATAAAATGATAAAAAACAACAACCAACGATGTACTCGGCTAATCGCAGATTCATCTGATCGCCCGACCCTAATAAGTAGCACAAACGCATTTATACACGTATGCTTGACGCCGAACCTCAAAAATAAACAGCCTGTCAATGCATTTCTCGACTGTGGTTGGGACCTTGAATATCTTCTTTCCCCTGCAAACACAACTGTGCAGCACACACTCTGAGAACAAATATTGTGCAACACTGAATCGACAACCATTGTATTTCAACAAGATATGTGATGGCACCCTTAGCTGAAGAATTAGACAGTTTTAAAGCACACACACACACACACACACACACACTTATTGTCCCCCTGTGAGGCTGTCCTGCGGCCTGACGGCAGCAGCGAGGGAGATAACGGCGGGCCAGCACACACACAAGCGCACACAATTTGTCATGGTAGCTGGATACACTGTTAATAACACACACACGCATACACACACGGTCACAGTGGAAATACGGTTATTGCCACACCACCAGGACCGTTGCCCAGACCTGCCTGCCTTTGCCATCACAGATTACACCATGAACATGTGTGAGAGTGCCTCCGTGTGTGCCATTTCTCACTGGCCTGCCCACTGCGATATCTCTTCCTCTGAGACACTCGCACTGCAGCAAAACAAAAAAAACACCTGACCCTTTCCAACAGCAACATCCTTCAAAGTGCTAACATTGTAATAATAGGCAAGCGAGTGGCCCCTCCATTCCCATAGAACACCTGCGTGCACAGGGCACGTCTTCATTCACCGCATCAACATCCAACCGCTATTGTTCTGCTGTGGAGATTATTACATCGGGCCGTATAGCATGTGTCATTGTGAAGTCCCAGTGACGATGCCCGGGTTATTCCGGAATACCCAAGGTGTACCTGTGTTTGCTGTTAATGAAATTATGACACCCCAGCTGCATTATTGTATTGTCATTTTCTGTGACATTCCTCTGAGTCGAGTGGAAGCGCACGCCTTTCATTTTTTCCCCTCGTTTCTTCTATGAATACTCAGGTGTGAAATTGTTAAGCAGCCGCTGCCTCTGATTTGTGCGTTTCTTTTCCTCTTTTCTCTCAGGGCTTTCTCTGGCAGACACGGTATGTCCTCCACAAAGACGAGTGTATTGGAGATTTTATTTCTTATTTTATAAGAATATTCAAATTAGTTTTGATGGAAGTATTTTAATTCTTTATGTTTTGTTCTTCACAGAGCGTGACGCTTTCGACACCCTGTTTGACCACGCTCCAGATAAACTGAATGTTGTCAAAAAGGTACTGAGGGTCTTTTTTTTTTTTTTTACAGTGGCGATCTCAAATTTAGCAGCCATCATGGAGGTCTGATGAACTTATGGCAAATTACATCTAAACACGTACAAAAAATAACCAGGTCTTTGGAGTAAAATGCACAGTTTTGGGGGTTTAACTACCCAGTCCATGGTCCAGGTTTTACTCTGCACAGTTATCAAACTAACGTCATTGACCCTGATTAATGATGCAGGTCCTTCACAAGAATATACAGACCTGACTAGAGTGTTGCGGTGTGATTATAGATCAGTCAGCCATTGTTTGACGTGCAAATGATCTGGTAAGATTTGTTCCGTCACTTTGGGTTACTGTGATTTGGAAAACAGTGTCATCTCTAGACATCCCTGCTCTTTGATCTTCACTCCAAAACCAGTCCAGGACTTGATGGAGTTGTCAGGGAAAGCGAGTGTGAAATTTCATTCTCAACCAGTGCTGGGTAACTTTACTTTTAAAAGTAACTTGCCATATTACGTTACTTTCATTAAAAAGTAGTTTGTCACCACGGTACCTACTGAGAAGAGTAACTTGTAAGAGTATGTTTGCGTTAGCAAAAATTCCTGTGAGATTCCTTTTTCAATTGTATGTATGACATTGCATAGCCTCATGTGTGGAATATGGTATACTGATATGCGTTTCCCCCGTACCCATCTTCTTTATCCATGACCCTAACCACCGAGGGGGGGTGCTACACTCAACATAACATCCTTCTCTCCACCAGTGTTGTGGAGGTGTTCTTAGCTTGCAGGTGCTTCTTAGAATTTGAAGTAAAGTTCTTTGCAGATGACAGACTTTAAGCACAATTTGCATTTTACTTTGACCTTCCGCACAGTAACGGATTGCTTATTGTCGTAACTAAATAACTGATTACTTGAATTGCAAACTCACGCGCTACATCACTTGTCACTACAAAAAAGGGCTCTCGCGTACTCTTATGCGTTACTCCCAACACTGTTCTTGACCTTGGAATATATTTACAAAAATTCAAGGTCCTCTTACTATCTTCTTTTCTGGGACTTTCCATCCCATCCAAAGGTCTTTGTCGGATGGAGTGTTCTTAGTTAGTTAGTTAGTCAAGGACAACTAAGCAAACTCCATCCGCTGAGGAAGAAGGTGATATGCGATTGAAAACCTGAGAACAGATCTTACAGATGTGTAAGATATTGCTCAAATCATTGACAATAGTGAGAGCAGACCAGATACTGTGGTTTAGTTGCTAAAACGCCAAACACAGATAAATAAAATAAATAGGTGTAAAATAATTCTCCAAAGTTGTGACACTCGGTAAAAACCAGGTCTTCATTTTCACGTCTTATCAGTCCCATTGAGTTTATTAGCATGTGTTGCTTTTTACCATTTTTGGAGGACCTCTAATATGGCTGCCAAAGACCAAGATGCTTTGATGTTTTTTTAATGTATCTGTCTACAAGGTGTGTGTAGATGTCGTGACAGACCTTTTCCCTTTGTGTTTTCTCAGACATTGATCACGTTTGTGAACAAACACCTCAACAAGCTCAACCTAGAGGTGTCTGAATTGGACACACAGGTACTTCACACACGGGACAACCGTTTTCAAAGCTCCTACACAATACATACCTGAGATAATGCACACTTTTTTCTAAATCTGTTAAACTTGTTTAAACGATAAGTCACCACTGTTAACCAGCATGCAGTCTGTTAACCGGCCTGTGCTTGTCTCAGTTTGCAGACGGCGTTTATCTGGTGTTGCTGATGGGGCTGTTGGAGGGATACTTTGTGCCGCTCTACAACTTTTTCCTCACACCAGAGAATTTTGACCAAAAGGTAAAAGTGTGATTTTGTTTTTTTTTTATTGTTATTTTTATTTTATTTTTTGTGAGCCGGACTATTACAGGAGCACTCCACCAGAAACCTATATTTTAAGTATCAAACAGCCACTGGTTGTTGACTTGAAAGCTACGGACGAGTTTGTAGTTTACCTCCTAGTGGAGGACAGCAGCTCTGGTCTAAAACATCTGTTACTATGGTTTCCAACAGCGACCTTGTTTGACCTTGGGGGGGGGGGGGGGGGACACCCACACCAACTTCTCACTTCACTATTGAACATAATCTACTACTACTATTCTGCCATTTATTTATTTTTGAATCCTCAGGATTACAATTTGCTTTTCCACACCGAATTTAATAGAAAATAACAATACAAACAATAATACTGTAGCATATCCGAATCCTTAAAAATGAATGTCTTTAATTAAACCCCCCAAAAGACACGTCCATCTCGGCCAATGACGGAGAAATGTCTGGCTGAGACTCAGGATGAGCTGCTGTTTCTTGCGTCATATCATTCCTGAGGCGATTATTTTAGGTTAACAGTCTCCGGCGGTGTTCATGTCCATTGGGCGAACAGTGTGTCCAGTACATGAGGGCTACAATTAGTGGATATACGCAAATATTACGGTATATATTTTCTGCTGTGTTGTGGACACACTGTAAGTGCCACCGTGTTGACGTAGCCGATCATTTCTATTTCGAGACCTGCGAGAAACGAGTCTCGACCTGTTGTTTAAAATATCACTCTCGAATGAATCCAATACTTCATATCTGAGGAGCCCGTGCGCTCGGAGCCTGCGCTCTCCTCTCGACTGCCCCGATAAAATGCCATCCGTTTTTTCCCCCCCGGAGCCCATTCAGCAAGTGCGGAGCCATCTCTCCTCTCCATTGGCCTCCGCTGTACCGCGGCATTCTGAACGGGCGATCTGCGGAGACACCACAGTAGCCTTTTGTTTGGGGCTTGGCCAGAAGGCCCCTGCCAAGCAGAATGGGCATCGGTGCGACGATGCACACACACTCCTGGCCCAGAAGAACAGGCACCAGCCCCACAGCATCTGTAATCTCCTTTTGCACAGGGAAACACTGGAGTGGCTTAGGGGCGTGTGCGTGCGTGCACCCCCCCTATCGATGATACACCAAGGGTGGGCTGGGAAAAGTAGTGCGAGGCACCAAGAAAGCACTCCTGCTTCTGTCCAGTAGATCTCTACTTAAGGCTCATTCTCTCTCCTTTTCTTTTTGACTGTATTAGAAGGCTAAGGTCAGGCTTTTCACACAATGAGCCCTTGTTGGGCAAAGCTTTTAGTACATCACAGCAGGCACACACACACACACATATATATAATGGGCAGAGAATAGAAAAACATCTTTCAACTCTTTCTATCTCTTCCCTGTGATTGGTTTTCCTCCTCTCTTTCACTCTTTTTTTTTTTTTAAGTCAGATTTGCTCAGATGTCTTTGCTAGTTTCCTCCACAGAACTGTGTCTGTGTAAAGATTGAAAAATACAAAATAATTCCACCTGTCCTGCATTTGTTTGGCATCACTCAGTTATCAAGAAAACCCCCTGATGACCAACATCTCCAGCATGTGTGTTTCTCCCTATAATAATGTCATAAATGCGGTACGGCCCGTTGTGTTTATATTCCTACACGTGTTACTCGTGTACAACACAACTTTGGCGTTTCATGGCGCTATGATTTTCTTGGGAGTTTTTCGAGTGACACCGCCGACATGCGTCCATTGATAAACCAGTTGTTTGTGCAGCTGCTGAAGGCTTAAGTTCTTACAGAACAGAGCGGCGTTGTGTTTGCCAGCACAGGAAGCTGTGGTAGCACGATTGAATAGACCCCCCCCCCCCAGTGTATTGTGGGATTTAGCAACCAGTGTCCACCGGTCCCTTATCAGCGAGGAGCTGTGTGTGTGTGAGTGAGAGAGGGAGAGAGTGTGTGTGTGTGTGTGTATTTGAAGGTAGCGTACATGGTTCCTAACGGCCACGTGACTCTCTGCAGGTCCACAACGTGTCCTTCTCCTTTGAGCTGATGCAGGACGGAGGTCTGGAGAGACCGAAGCCCCGACCAGAGGGTAGGACGCACAATCAACTAGGGGTGTACTGATCCCGTTACCTATTAACTATCTGACACATTGAAGTTACAGCTGTGGCGTTATTTTGGAGTTTTTTTTATTAACTGTTCCCAAAGAGGAGGTATGTGACCCCCTAGAGAGAAAAAACGATGCACTTTTTTCAGAGCGCTGGGACTATTTTGTGAAGCCGCTTCGAGCGCTTATAGTTGAAAATCTCTTCACTTTTCAGAAAGGCACCACTACTTTTTAGGCAACCAATCATGGGGGAAAACCTATGTCAAACTAATAGCACGAAAAGATAATAATGAAAAGCAAAGGGCCGAGGCTAGCCTGTCATACAACAGCAGAGATATGTCGTTATAGAAACAGAACCCACGTGCTGGGAGTGCTTTTTTGATGAAGCGCTCCCCAGCTCAACTTTAATATGGTTCATTATTGTTGTATACACTAAAAGGGTCTAAAATATAAGGATACAAGCCATTTAGCTGTAGATAGGCAGGAATGTGACACTGCCCAGAACCGAAATACAACATAAGCCATCCCACATTTAAATCTTAGTTTCATCATTACTTAAGATCATTCAAAGTGACCATTTACCTAAATAAAACCTCAAAAATATTTTTTGTATTTTTGCTATTTTTTAAATCGGTTTATTTATAATTTGCATGTATGATTAATTTTCACATTCACAATGCAGCATGGTAAAATTTTGATTTCTTTTTTAATGTGTAGCATTTGGTCAAAAAACAAGATTTTGCATAGGACTCCCAAAAATGAAGAGATCTCACTGCAGTCTTATTACCCATATATACAACTTATCGCTCCGTTTGTTTTCCTGTTTTTTCCAGACATAGTGAACTGCGACCTTAAATCGACGCTGCGCGTCCTCTACAACCTCTTCACCAGGTACAGGAACGTAGACTGAGCACCGGGTGTAGCAGGAGGGAACACTTTATACCACGGATCACATGTTGGAGCTTAGAGCTTAAAGATATGCGTCTCCTTCTACTTGTTGTAGAAGTCTGTTTTAATCTGAATGCATGCATCACATTTTGTCCCTGTTGGATATTGTGTTTTATTTTGTTTCCTGCAGAGACAATTTTATGGAAGCCCTAAGAGGCATGCAGGACAAAAACGAATGTGTTGACCCAGGTGATCGAAATCATTTTTTTCTCGTGTTTATGACTAAAGAACGGGTTCATCTTTTTAAGTTTCTTACATTTTTTCCCCATCTTTGAAACTAAATTTTGGAAGGTGATTTTTTATTTTTTTTTTTTAAGTGCAATACTCATTTGGGCAACATAAAGCTGAAGTGCACCACTACCCTGTGTTCTACAATAGGACTTGAAGCATTCATGTTTTCTTCCAAGTGAGTTTTATGAGAAATTTAAACCCAGCTGGAAGAAAACATCAATGCTTTCGGTCCTATTCACATATACATATGATAGTGGTGCATTTTGGTCTCTTGTCGACGAAATGAGCAATGAAAAATTATCCTGGCAAAACCTATTCTCTACCAGCTCTCAAGTCATTAACACATGAGAGGAAACCGTTAGGATCAGACTTTTTTTCACTGTCCTTTCAGGGCTTCCGTACATCTGACTTGTGTGATGCAAAATTACTTTTTATTGTAAATTGGGCATTGCTTTACAGTCCTACGGACATCTATGAATAAGATAACCAATGGTAATGTCTACTTAGGTCGTAGAGGTAATTCTGTAGTGAATTCTGTCACCCTGCGTTGTTATCACAAAGATGAACAACACTTGTATCTTTTAATCCATAAAAGAAAATGTTTAACTATATTTATTGTACATTTTGAGATACTTGTTCTTTCCTACTTTCCCAGCTGTTTATTTTTTTTCCTCTCCGCTCTTGTTTATGTCATTCATAAGTGCCTTAATTAAGACGTGTGAACACAGCTAGCGGCTCCCAATACGTAATATTGGGATGCACGTGCTCCCCAGTTGTCTTAACGTTCCAGATTCCCTTTCCATATGTGGAGGGACATTTGAAATATCTGACCAAAGCTCTGTTGTATTCACTCTGTAAATCATATAAAGGCGTTACTCAGCAGTCATTCACTTCTCTTGTATTTTTTGAACTCTGCTTCATTTAATAAAAAAAAAAAGACACATTAGATATTCCTCTTTTCTGCAAGACAAATTAAAAATTGACTGCATACATCAAATGTATGTTGTGTTCTACTTTCAGGGCAATTTAACTTTTTTTTTTCCAAATAACAAATGCAGTCCGCGGTTCAAGCTGCCAACACACTCTCTATTATGTATCTATGTTTCAAAGGATTATATTCAATAAATCGTTCGGTCCTTGAATGCTGCTGCATTATTTATTTTTCCTCAAAGGGAAGCAAAGGGGAATGCTTTTCCAACAAAACAAATATTGGGGTCAGATTGGTTCCAATTTGGACTGCACAACACAACAAGTGGACCCTGCTCAACAATTTTCTTTTCTTTTGCTAAAGTGAGAGATACTGTCAGAAAAAGCTGTGTAAAAGCTTTCTGAAGTGGGGCTGACCCCAACACAGACCGAAACAGATAGCACAGTAGCGGAGTGAATGAAAAGGTTCATTTTTTCCTTCGCAAATTCCACAATAGCTTTTGAAAATAAGGTGGGGGGGGAATAGGCGTGTATTCTCTCTGTGTGTGAGTGTGTGTTGATGTATTATTATTAATACACACTGTGCTATTGCAGTATTCTCTGCCAAATCCAACGCACATTGCAAAGACCCTCACCTGTTTTTGATTCCAAGTTGCTTTTTTAATTAATTTACAGTTTTGCTGTATTTTACAAACACAGAAAACGTGTGTGTGTGTGTGTCCCTAACATGTGAAGTGCGAGTCCCTAAATTGCAAAGTGAGTAATCCTTTTCGGGCTGTAACATATTTCGAGGTGAGAACATTGTAAAGTCTATAATTTAATCTTCAATCAGGAGAGTTTGTGAGAAAAGGTTTGTGTGCTTGACTGAGCAGCACTTCTTTATCCTACAGGAGCATTCTATTTCACCTCCAAGAAGCTCCTTCATTTTATGGTATGTGAGCTATAGGCACACATGCCGTATGCGTGTGTCGACTAAATGCCCGTAGCAAAGTTAAACATTTGGTCCGAGTAACAGTACCCGCTGATGATTGCCCTCTCAGACGCTCTCATGTCAGTTGCAACAGATCCTGAGGGATCTGAAACCATGTTACAATCATTTCCTCTCCGCTCCATCGCCCGGGGAACAATTCAGCCGCTCTAGTTATTGCCTTGTTACATTATCGTTATTGCATTATTGTTACGTTGCCGCTCTCGTGCATGGGTCACGTGGGGACGCGGCCGCATTCCTCTGATTGAAGACACCACAGCAGTGGTGGGCCGTCAGGGCCAGCTAAGCCTTCTCTGCTGGCCTAAACAGAATCACAAAGTTATAGCTATTTTATCATTTAATAATTTTTCACAAATACACTACATGTATTATTGTTTTTTTTCCCATTCGATTATTTTCTCATTGCACAGCTCCTCTGTTGCTCTGCTTCCAGCACAGCTTGTTTTAAGTAGAGCTTTTATCCAATCGGATTCAGCCCCTATGTCTCTATGTAAGGAGAGAGGCCCGAGGTCCTCTAGGGGTTCTTAACCTTTTTGTCCTCAGGGCCCAACTTTTCAAGTACAAAGTGTCCCGGGGCCCATTCAAATATTAACACTATTAGTTTAACTAATTGATCTCACTCTTGGTTTGATTTGTATTCAATAACTATATTGTTACCTGTTCAACTCCACCCCTATTTTGGAGCAAAACCCTTGTCAAATAAATGAGATGATACAATGTGATGATCACAAAGACATTTATTTATCATGTGTATGTAAACCTGCATACACAACAAGAAGCCCAACAGGCTTTCCCACGAGCGTTGGATGTTTCGTCGCTAGGTGTCGCTTTATTTTTGAAGGCTTCAGTGCTTCGTTTGATAGCATTAGCCCACATTCCACACACTGAGCCCTCGGCTCTGCCTCGTTGCCTCCGTTCACAAAGCCGTACTTAAGAAAGTCAGGATTGTACTTGCGCACACATTTAGACTTTTGGGGGGGTATGGCACCACTGTGGTCTTCATTTTTTCTTTTTAAAAATGTATCCATGACTTTCGCTACAGGCTAGCGGCTAGCTGAGTGTCGTCTTCTGCTTATTGGAGCTTGTTAAACAACTGACTGACGCATTACCGCCACCAGGTGGTGGGAAGCTATATTGTAACTGAGCAGCTCATGGATAACAGTAATATCTCTGGTGTCTTCAATTGATAACCTATGCGGCCCTCGCGGCCCTCAGGTGCAAAACTGAAAGTTTTTTGCGGCCCTCTAGGTGGCGCTCGCGGCCCAATCACTGCTCTAGGTAGACATTGCAGTTTAAGTGAATGGGGACGATATTGTTGATTGTCATAGTCTTCAACCAATCAGATCTTTAGTTTGACATGTTGGGCGTATTCTTTTTTTTTTTTTTTTTTTTTTTTTTTTTTTTTTTTTTTTTTTTTTTTAACCTAGCTTTGTTTTTTTAACACTAAATGGCTGACTCAGCCAGGAAAAGGATTTGTATGAACGTTGTTCCTGGCTGACAGCGAGTGGATCTACAGATCAACTAACACGTTGGCAGGGAAACGGAGCTCCACAACCGCGGTCCGCCCGCGGCCAGTAGTCTCGGTCAGTGGTCGGCGGGCGGTCTGTGACCGGTCGCGCTGGTCGCACCGGCCGGCTTTCGCTGGTCGCGGTCGATTCGTCCATGAAAGAGAAGGACTTCTTACTGGAAATGAAACGATGTCCTGACGTTAAACTCGTCAACAAAGAAAGGAGGATTAAGTAGCGAATAGTTGTTTAATGCTCTGAATCCAGTATAGTGCACGTTTAAATGGTTTCACTGATTAACATAATATATTTTACATGTTTTCTTTATATAAAATGCAAAGTGTATTAACACCAAATGGCTATTTTACAGGGGGTTATGTGCCCGATAAATAATAAAAATGTTTAATTTGGCCTCAAAAAGTATTTCCCAAAACCTTGTAAAGCTGCACTAATCAATATTTTTCTATGCACAATGATTCAAATGAGAAAAGTAACTGGTACCAAAAATCAGTTGAACCGAGCCTTTGCTATAGTAGAGCATTTAGTTGGTGGAGACCATGAACGGAGCTAAAGGAGAGTGAATATTAGACTTCGTCTGGTGGACTGAAATACAACTAATTATAATTTGTGAAATGTATGACTGTAAGTGTTGTTTTTTACAGCTTGCACCGTTGCCCCAAATGATGGACCAAAGAAATCCATCATTCCACTTTACATTATGCCTAATTTTTTCTGTCATACGTTTCAGACAGCATCGTGTTTACAGGTAATACCTTAACCACTTTGTATTCCATTCATTCATGAGAAGAAGAAGAAACACATTTCGTCATTTTATCTCATATAATGTTTTCATAGTAGCCTTCCCAACATTTTACATCACAGGTTACGTTCTAATCGCTAACTTGACCTATGGGATTATCACTTCAGGTAATTGAATCACTTTGAACTGGGGCTTCATTTACCCACAGCAAAACAAATATCATCTAAATCTGGATTGGGGCTTCATAGATTCTCCCATGAGGCACCATGGCTAACTTGATCACAACAGAGGAGCTCCAGCAGGTCCTCAGATGCTCCCCTTCAACTGGCAATGACCTCTGACCCCTTTATGAACTAGGGCAAGAAAAAAAAGACTGTTTTCCTTTTGAGGATCAATAAAGTATCACATTATTATATTATGTGGCATTAGATAAAAGGTTTGGGCGTACAGCCCAATAATGGCTGGCACTCCACTTAGATAATGTTACAAAGTAGAGCAGGATTGCTTCACCAGTCATAAGTGTATCGATGTTATATGTTTATGCTCTGACATGTCTCCTTTTGCCGTTGTTTCTCAGAAGCTCCCCTCCAGTCTTTAGGACAAATACGACAATATCACTTTGCCATTCTGCGAAGAGACAGAGAGAACAGCAGAAACGGAGAGACAGGGAGCAGGTAATATCCTATGAGACTCATGCAGTATATCCTGTTATGTGACCCATCTACTACGAGCGTGAAGAACTCTCACGGTGATGGTAAAGGCCAGTGGATACAAAAGCTTGTCACTGTGCATGAAACATTTATGTGAACGATGATCTAATGCAAGTAGTTCACACTGAATTATGGCCGTGAGACAGAGTACCTGTGAAAATGCAGTTTTGCACACAGTGAGTGCAAAACATGCACTGTATACTCATGCACTGTATACTCTCTAGGTTTTGTGTCTTGGATTTGATCATATTCATGGTATGACACTTACATGGTTAGAACATAAAACCTGGTTATTCGTCTCCACGTGTACATAAAAGTTCAGAACGGAACTGTTTCCTTAATCCCGCTCCAACCCACTTTTGGGTCGCGACCCACCAGTTGAGAATCACTGAAATAGACAATAGAGCGGAGTATGCTTTAGGGCGGGCATTCTGGGATTGACAGGTCGCTTCCGCTACCAGAGCCGTATACGGCGTCTCTACGTCACTCCTCCACATTCCAAATATCGTGACTTCCATTTATTGGCTGCAAAAAACAACAACGGGGCGACTGTCGTAATTCAAGATGGCGACGGCGAAATCGCAGAACTCAAGGCTTCTTGTTTGATATGTGCAGAAGGAAGTGCTTTATCTTTGAAGGAGAACCTACTTTAACCGCTAGAACGGAGCAGGTATGTCGCTTCAACCCAAAGCTGCCCATGATTTGTGGCCATTGTTAATCAATACTTTTGCACATTTGTTTGCAAATAATAACGCTCGTTTCCATCTTTGTCAGTAAAAAAACAAATGTCAGACTTTGCCTTGCCTCGCATACCTCGTATTGTTATGACAGGACCTGCCGGATCCTAAACTCAATGCAATCTTAGTGTACATTGTTACTTTTTATTCTAGATTTGGCTTGTCCATCGGATCTCTAGTTGAGGAAAATAAGATGTCAGTTTATCCTCTAATTTAATTTGAGTTGATGATGCACATGTGAAAATGGCAGATATATCAA